GCCCGATGGAAAAAATCTGCACTGCCAAAATGGTTGGTTGCATGGATATTACTATCCAATGGCGGACCATCCAACGGGAAGAGGGACTTTCGCGTGCGAATTGTGGCTTGTAACCACATATCGGGCGATAATGAACACGGTACGAATGGGTGAGCTCAAATAAGCACGCAAAGAAAGAAAAAGCACGAGAACGGAGCGGAACGGGCGGGCGGCCTGATTGTGAATAGTGTCAGTGTAAATCTACGAATTCTTGGCTGCGGATGCGACAATGACACAAAAGAGCGCATTTAAAGAAGGTGGGTGCAACGACAAGTCCAAGTGAAGCACACCCTAGAACTTCGATAGGCAAAGCAGCTAATTACTTCTTTACTGATGATAGTGGTGTGATTTAGCGCATTGCAATGTCAGTACAGACAGTAGAGAATGCGCTCCTATTCGCTCGCTCCCCGTGCATGTGAGGCATACAAAGCGAATTCAAGCATTCTCCGCGGAGTTATTTTGACAGTCAACAGGACCTTTTGGTGCATCTTCGCGACTAGCATTTGCATTGGCTACATCTGCACCGTTATTGTTACTCCCCCCACTTCGGAGGCAAGCGGTGGTGGTGGTGATTTGGAATCGACAGCCGATGATGTAGGAGCTGCTTCACTTGTGTTCTTTGTGTTGGCTTCATCCACCGAACCGGAAGCCGTTGCGGTAGACGCAGGGGAATTGATTACTCCACCAGGTGGCGGATTCGAAAGATCGTTGGACGACCGGTTGAGGTGAGTTAGTTTGGTGAGATCCTCCGACATGGACAACTCTGTAGAAGGTCAAGCACGAAAGTTGTATTGGGAAGACACGGTCAGAGGACAACCACTATGAAACAGTTGTTCAACAAGATATATATATATATATAAACTTGAAAATGGGCATTCTAATAGAGTACGAACACCAAGCCAACTCAATTGCAATGGCAAATATCTTTCGCAAGATGTATTAGGGAAATACCTGGTTATTACGCTGATAGTAGCCTCGTGACGCTGCAACATCGTAAATCATCCATTCATGGAGGTAAAAATATCTAGGTGTGCACTTATTTATTTTGACGTGCAATTCGTTTACGATCGGTTGATCAGAATTCAACATTTTATCTACTCAAATGATGAACGATGGATTGATTTCACTTCTTTCCGAACATAACGCTTCTGTTGAGAAGTGTTTTGAATGAGAGAGCTTCGTTTAGTTCTCTGTTTTCCGCCTGTATGGTTAGATACCTAGCTCGGACGTCCTTCGATTGCGATCATTGAACTATCCAGTTGGTTAATCCAGGAATAAAACGGCAAAATTAGACGGAAATTATCAGAACGGTATCAACATACGTGTACGGAATACCAGCCAACTAGATGCGTGTAGTAAGTAAATGGATGAATGGGGATCTGTTATTTATTTATTTTAAACAACCCCAGTGATCAACACCATTTTCATGCTATCACGCCCGGTCATAACTGTGGCACTCTGAACCGTCTTTCAATTAACAGCTGTTCCGGTATACTAAGTGAAATGCACGAAGCACCTCCGGCCACTTTAGTCCGTGAGAAATCCAGTGTCTGAGTTAGCGCGCAAACGCGATAGTTCCACAACCACCTACCAAGAAACTGCATTGAATAGCGAATGAAAAATCTACAAAGCCCGAATTCACAGAGACAGATTGGATGGTAACCAGTGTCATATCTTATCATCGCAAAACATCAGAAGGCATCCAACGAATATTGAACCGTTTCAATATACGGGTCGTATTTCAGGCAACCAAAACCTGCGTTCACTTTTGATGTGACCGAATGTGACAAATGACCGAAGGCTGATCAATTGGATTGCGCTTATAGGATAAGATACAAAAAGATCTAACCACTTAAGTTGGGCCAACAAGTGGACAACTAAAGAAACGGGTAGCTTAACATGACAAAAATTCCACCCCCCTCCCCCCCTCAAGAAAATACATCGAAGTTTAGGACCCTTGAGAGGAACTCAGTTATCGCTTTGGGTTCCGTTTCTCAGCGACAGTACAGACGCTTGGAAAAGCCGATTATTCGAAAACAAGGTTTCAGGTCATATGCAGAAAATGATCAATTATTGAGTTATTGTTCATGAACATCAACCGACTGCGTCAATTGGTCGACCGGGGCCTAATAAGCAGTTCACCGGCTTGATACCAGTTGCATAACTAACCGCCCATACCCATGCAAACCAACACACAACTAAAAATGACGTGCAGAAAACAAACAAAAAACTGCTATTTCCCAAGTTGACTGTTAGTGCTTTTCCCGCTTCTGTTGTTATATTCTGTGTTCACCCATGGTTATTTTGGCACCGTATGTGAAACCTCGCCCAATCAGAAAACTCCTCCCAGACCCTGGTTTTGCTTCATCGATGACTCATTTTTTGTCACAAGTTTACACACATTCAGATTACTATTTTTCCTTTGACGAAAAAAAACCTCCTGCGTTTAATACGGTTTCTCTCAAACTTCTGTTTAATGTTCGCTTGTCAACTAACTGGTAAACAGCCTTCCAGGAGGGTCGACAAGTCATTAACCGAAAATTGTTGTTTTGATTTTCTCTCATTGTGGCTAATCCGAACATTAATACACGGGCGTGGTTGTAGAACCACACAAAGACCAGATGGCGAGAGGCTGGAAACCGCTTAAGCTTTCGTTCCTCTTGGAAGACGGATCACACTTGGAGGAGTGCGGGAGGAGATCCTTGGGAAAGTTAGGAACCAGCGCACGGCATTCTCCAGTTTGACGCGGAGAAATGTTACCAGCCTTGCTTTGAATGATCAAAAGCTCGGCACCGCAGTATGTGTAACCTAACAAAAAAACTGGTCTAGATCGGACTAGTTGTCAACAAAGACTATCGCCGGAGCACGAAATGGTCGCCTAACTGGTTCTGACGTGGAACAACGCACCCAGCCAGGAACAATTATAACCCAAATTGGATGCAGATAGCAGCCAACAAAGGGCCGCGTCATGAACTGGTTCAGCTCATTTCGTTTTCATCACCGTTACCATTCCCGTAGATGTCGATCTTTTAACTGCCGTCTTTTTGCACCATAGTTAGACGAAGGAGTAAAAGAAAGGTTGAAATATTGAAAGCAGCGCCAGGTAAAAATAGACAGTTCATGTACACTAATGTTTCAAGAACAATGAGTAAATACATGAATGTCCTTGTTAACGACAACCATATCCGTCTGTGTTTCTGGCCATGATGATCCCGATGTTCCCAACCAAGAAGCTTTATGAAATCTATGCGAGCAAGTCATCGGGTAAGGGTTTTCCCATTTTCATGTCATGCCTTAGGTTGATTACCCATTTCTTCTCCCATACCAAACTACCTGCCTCGGTAAACATCCCATGCCGCGGTTAAATGCGCACGTATGCCAACATAATTTACAGAGGCCGACCACTCCTGTCGGAGACTCCAATTATCTAAATCTAAGCGTCTAACATCCGCATTTCGTGCCCCGTTTACCCACTAAACTCGCACAATCTGGTACTCGAACACCCACAGTCTATCTTTATCCTGTTTTCGTAATGACCAATTTTCTGCGCCCTATACCAGCACTGGCCGAAGTGCTGCAACATACACTAGAAACATCACAGAAAACCCGATGCCATCATCCTCGCGCCAGGACAGAATTGAATTCAAAATAAAATTTATAAATAAGTTGAGTAGAAAAAGAGATAGCCACCCCGACGTTGGTGACCGTCCGAACTGGGACCTTGCTGTTGAATATAAATCAAGGTCATCGGTCACCTTAATTACATCACTTACGCTTACTTTACTTGAGTTCGTAGTCCTAATTAAACGAAAAAGAGTGCAATTGTTACCAATAAATGCAGCCTTCTCTATTTTTCTACATTTTGATATCCACCACTTCTCACGGTGATTCCAGAAACTTTTGATCAGCTGGCGTTTTGCAGATTCGAGAGTCGTACATTCTTTGACATCCGGAGGAATGACTTTGTAGCAACCAGAAAGACAATCGTGTGTTAACTCTGATTGTGCGCGAGAATCCACTGTTGTTTTCGCTAACGTTTACATAACTTCATTGAATAACGTCCAGTGTTCAGTGAGTTCTTCGGCGGATGGTTAAACCACGAGGCATTGAGAGTTTCGTTTCGAAGGCTGAATCGTAACTATCGCTTACAATGTATTGTGAGCACCCATTCCCTGCAGATTTATTGCGGCTGACTACCAGGCTTTTGTAAAATCCGGCTCGTAACAGAACATGATCAGTATCGACGGGGGTAAAGACTTATCCCACGGGTGGGAGGAGGCCCCAGGTAACCGTTCCTACGTCCACCTAGAGGGATTTTGCTGACCTATAAATTGCTCATTCTCCTGAGTGACCAATCCAAGGATGAGAGAGGACAGTCAAATGTAGTTAAATGCCTAAAAAGCGAACCTTGCAGTACTGAGTTTTGTTTAGCTTCCATCTGTTGACCTTTCGGGTATAACTAGATCTGCGGCTCTGAAAGCCACCCGGTATAGTTCTCGAGGTTATGGAGCCACGCAGGCGTTGCGTTTAAGTATCAACGGCGAGATAAGAAACGAAGACGACATCGCGGAAGTCATTCATTCTATTTTTAGTTCAATGAAAGACGACAAGTCGGTGTAACCGCTACGAGGAAATCAACTTGATTGACGCAACTAGAAAAAAGTTTCTGAACATAGATGCTATACTATTTAGCATGTAAAGAGGATTCTCGCATACGAAGCAACCATGGAGGGCTTCGGCCTGGGTAGATTTGTGAACAATGCCCAGTACTAGTGTTCAACCGCCCATGGTAGGTTGCTACACTGAATTCTGCACTGTCTTTATTAGCAACAATCGAGAGGCTTCGTGAACAATACTGGGACGATGG